GGAACTATACAATTGTTTGGTTGATGGTTAATTTAATATGGATAGTGCCAATTACTTCAATTAATGTTCTGGCTGACTTTATCACATTTCCTGATAAAGAGCCTTGAAATATATGGCTTATAATTGGGTGGGATTTAAAACTCTTCTGTTGCCTCGATTTATTGTTCAGTGGTACTGGTTGATGTAAGACAGATTTAAAATATCGAATAATGCTGCATATGAGATTTGTAGTGGATAATGGGTTAAAAGGGTAATAGGAATGTGGATGGTTTTGCTGATTAGAACAAAAGTGGAATGGCTTGGGGTACAAAATTGACAAGACTGCAGGAAATTTAGAAAAAGGTCACTGGAATTTTCTGAATAGCAAGTATCTTGAGTTTTTGTTTTAAAAGTAAAAGCCAAGACTAGGGATGATTATTTGGGCTAGTTAGGTTTGAGTTTAGAGCTGAAAATTAGGGCTTTTTGTGGGTCTGAATACCAACTATGAATAGTAAATAGGAGAAGAGAAACTTTCAGAAAAAGCAAGGAGAAGAAAAGTTCCAGGAATCTGAATTTTGCACTTGACCTTCGCAACAAACAAAACCGCAAACTTCCTTAACTCTTCTCAATTGAATTGAAGCTGACGATAAAAATTGTGGATTTTTGACCTCTTTAAAAAAAAATTACTTGGAATAAAACACAAGAAACTTTAGCTAGACCTTCTATTTAAGATCACTAACGATTCCCTATAAGTTCCAATGTAGTCCTGCCCAAAATTGAGACTAATGGATCATCCAACAAATAGCGGCTTTTTAACTTAGGAATGGCATATATTAATATGAAATTTCGTGCTAAAATTCATTGAAATCTGTCCAAAATGTGTTCTGTTTCCATTTTTTTCTTGTTATCACACTCTTTACCACACCTGGACCAAGATGCTAGGACTGTTACTTGTTTAGTGGAGAAACAGTGGCACCTTGGTAGATAATTTTCTTGTATGCTAAGATAGGAACTCAAATCACTATGAAGCCTCAATACATAGTTTCCTCCGCGCGCTGTTCAGTATGTTGTATATAAAGACTATGCTGCTTCTAGGTGCTAGGATAAGTGCATTGGTTACGAGTTGAACCTTTGGCATTATATTGCAAAAATTACTGATCTCAAACTTAAAACCCACATTGCCATGTTAGGTAGCTTAATAGGTTTTGCTTTTACCATTGCACAAAGCAAATGGTCCCTGTATGATTCAGTTTTTATGAAGATCGTACTGAAGCATCTGTACGAGCCACGAGGGCAGAGTTGGAATTGGGCTTCGGATGTTGAATCTTTTGCCAACTTGTTGGTGTCTTTTGCCTAAGCAGAATGTAGGTGCGTTAGTGTGTTGATAATGCACGCCATACAGATGATATTAGAATTACTCAATTCAGCAATTAATTGGAATTAAGAACTTTCACTGGAAGTTTCTGCTCGCAACATATTATTTCGCTTTAAGAGAAGTTCCATAAGGGCAGTCTGCCACATTGTTCATGCATCATATCCGCATCTCTATTCCAACCAAATTATTGAACATTGTGTTGTTTTTTCATGATAGCGCGGGCATTTGCTACACCATAGTTCCTCGTGTCAAAATTGTTACTGAAGCATATTCCCACATTTCACTTTAATTTGCCTTCTTACCATGAAACTAGTTTTCAGAGTGCTCTATGTCAGGTCTGGTCATGATATACCTGTAACCTGTCATCTTAAAATTTCAATATGACCCTTCTGGGAAGCAGAAAACAATTGAAATTAAAACACAGCATTGGTGCCAGACCTACCGGGGTCTGCATACATCTTGGTTCATCTATTAAAATGTCTTTGAGGGGTTGGGGGGAATGAGTGACTTAAAAAACACCAGTTACCTTTTACATGTATTTCTTTCAGACCCAAAAGGAAAAAAAATAGATGATTTCTTTACAAACATCACCACCAAGTGTATGTATATGACAACTTAATCGTTCCGAATGAGACGATCTTGAAGGCTGTAACCTTCCGAGATCTTAAAGGCTGTGATGTATATAGTTGTTTGATTTTCTACTTGCTGTTTACTATTTTGTGTCAATGTTTTGTTGAGAATGGGTTGGTGTTTTGACAGGAATATAGCACAACTTGCAAAGGTTAGGATAATGAAGAGACCAGGCCAGTGGGAAGAACTTCATATATCTCGCAGGTGAGATCAAAATCTATTTCACTTTATTTTGTTAACCATGCTTATTTTGATCTCATATTGGAGGCTTTTTTGTCTTTTTGCAACTACTTTCTTTTTCTAGAATACCTTCATAGTGCTCTTTTGAGACCTTTATGTACACTTAAGAATTACCTGCGTCTTTCCCACTTCCTCCCCAAATTTGTAAAAGATATGCTGAGGTCCTGCCCTTGATCAGATAGTTTGTCTGAACATCCATGTATAAGCTTACATATGCATTCCCCTTGGGGAGTCGGTTAAGAATTAAAATCCCCTCCCCATCCCATGACGTCATATATATCCATATAGACAAACACACACATAATCTTGGAAGTAATGCACTTTTCACAATGCCAGTAATTCAGGAATACATGTAGAAATCCCATGATACAGAGGTTAGAGGGCTATGGTAAGGCATTTCCTCATTTTTGCATTTTTTTTTTGCTACGTTTAGGTTGGGGCCAATAGTGTGAACCCTAAGTTTGGACTTCAAATTGCAAGTGATGATATGGAATTTCTGACATTTTGATAGCATCCCTATAATTCAAGCATGGTTTCTCAAAACTGAAAAGAGAGGATCATATTTTGACTTGCAAGTGTTACACAAGAGTCACTTATGCTAAAAGACATCAGAATGTTCGCAGCAGTGACCTGAGCAAGCAACATACATAACTAGTAGTGGATTTTTTCTTAGGAGAAAAATTATGGAAAGACTGGGCAGAAAAGGCCAGAAGTTGACTTTAAAAGCACATTGTAGTATTCAATAATATCAATACTTTTTTTTTTTTTGATCAACAATAATATCAATACTCAAAAGAAAAACATTTGCTCCTTATTTAAAAGAAACAACTGCAGAAAATGTAATGTGCTATCCTATTCTCTTATGTTGGTGGAAAGTAGATTCTTAGAAGCTTAGGGCACTAATGCAGTAACGTGCAACAGTACTAGCCCTCTGACCAGGGCTGTTCCCGTTTTACTTTATCCATTATGTTTTAGTTTTCGTTTTGGTTTGCTATTCATCCGTTTCTTTGGACAATGATGATAATTCTTGATTATGTGAAAAAAATTGATGGCTGCTCTTACCAAATTAGCTTGCCATTTGATCTGCAGCATCAGGTCTATTGTTTGCCTCAGCTTGCCCAGTTTTTCTGGTGGACTCAATCCTTGGGGGACGCCTAATAAGAAGAAACTTCATTCGGTTAGTTTTGATTTGTTTCTTAGCATCTGCATTCATAAGACAAACTCAATATAGAGTTTCTCAATCTTTCACCAATGGCATGGTTTAAACTAGAACTTCTTGGAGATTATTTGAGCTTTTTTTCAACAGAGGGACTTGACACCTCCATATGTTGACGATGGCCTTCTTGAGATTGTTGGTTTTCGAGATGCATGGCATGGGCTTGTTTTGTTCTCTCCACATGGGCATGGGACTCGCCTTGCACAGGTAGGCCATAAACTAGATTATGAGAAACTGACATTGGTCCTAATGCATTAGGGTGCATAAAGGGCACTTGCACTAGTGCAATATGGTCACATATAATGGTTACAGTATCATAACACAAAAAAGGGTAATTGCAATGCACCTCAAATGCTGAAAAGGCCATTTCTTATGTACTCCTTTATGAAAAGTTGATGGCTTAGAAAATGTTGGAATGGACAAACGTTTCCTCTATGGAAGTTGCAATAATTGCTGTGCTGACTACTTAGCTGTATGCTGGTCATCTTAATACAATAATAACAATGCTTTCCTGCCAAGTGCCAATTGCCAATTGCTCTGAAAGAAGATTTACTGCAAGAAAATTTTCTTCAAATGAGTTGATGGAATTCATGGCATCAACTATTAGGTATTCATTGTTGAATCCGGAATGGTGTATATCAAAAGTTGTTATGAGCATTTCCCTATTATTTGGCTTGAACATTAGAAGTTGCTATCGTTGATTAAAAAAAAGTTTGGATGCCTACTTACACATAAAACCCTTATTCTTGAATTTTGAGTCTCTTAGCCTTATGCTTTATGCTAGTTATATCCTGCAAGGGGTTTTAAAAACATGTTTGAGACTAAACTAGAGCACTAAGCAAAAGCAGAAGCGTGAGCGGAAATGCATCTTTGGTAAAAACTCCTTTAGAGGAGAGCTTCTATAAATAGCCTTTCTGTGTATTTGCATTTATACATAGCACTTTGTGAACCATCGAGGGGGAATAATTAACAGTGGACTAAAACGATAAAAAACAATATGTCACAAAAATCATATTGGCAGCTGATATGGGGCTTAAAGTTGTTGTCTAATATGACAGGTTGAAGTCTCGCTGCCTTGGAATTGAACGTGCGAGCAAAAATAGAATATCCCTAAAGGATACACAAAAAAATTGATGTTTTTTTGGTGGGTTTTGAATCGGAAAGTTGCAAACGCCTCAGCCATGAGTCAAGTTCCCTTCATAAAATTTCCTTCTAAGCATTTAGTAAATTGCCCTCTACATGCGCTCAAAAGATCTGTTGGATAGTGACTACTTTTTAGCCTTTACATAACACTTAATTTTTCAAGGGGGAAGACAATGCTAATACGAGGTGTCAAAATCTGTTTAGTTTGCAATATGAGACTCAAAATATATTCATTATTTTGTGATGCAATTGGAATTTCAACCAAATTTTTGGCTTTTGGTTATAAGAATCTCTTATCCTCTCAGGACCCTCTAGACAAATACACACTATGGATATGAGATAATGCCTTTCTTGTCACTGATAGCTATTTTGCATTTTGCATTTTGCATTTTGCATATAGGCCAAAGGAATTCGTTTCGAGTTTTGCAAGGGTGCAGCTGACCATACATTCATGAGGATTGATGGAGAGCCATGGAAACAACCCCTCCCCGAAGATGATGACACTGTTGTCATTGAAATCTCTCAATTCAGCCAAGTCAGCATGCTTGCCAACCTAACCTGCCGATCAAAGAGTGTGCATGCACCTTTGTCACCATGGATTCACGAGGACGATGAATATGAAAGTAAGGAAGAAGAATCTGTAGAAGACAGGGAAGAGACAAGAAAGTTAGGTGCGGCTGACACTTTCCGGTTACCAGCGGAGTTCGATATAGCTAAACTTAGTTAGCCCATGCAGGTTCTGCTGCATAGCTCGGACTGAGTTCCTAATCGTGAGGTTCAGGATAACTCTTCAAGTACTTAGGTTGTTGACATCAGTTTGTGTACAGTTTTTTGCCCAAGCTTGATCCGGGACGTCGCGTTAAGTTCATCTGCTAGCACCAGTCTTAACCCATTCTCCTTTTTTCTTTTCCTTATCTCAGTAGCCTTCAAAATTTCAAATCACCGAACACAGCTGCGTTAGTGGCAGCAACTGAGATTCCACTATAGTTTTGTAGTTGCTGTGATAGTTGAAATGCCGTGACGATGTGCTATCTTCCTGCCAAACACTTTTAACGTCTGACTAAGAGTTAAAAGTCTGTGAGACTGTGATTCTTTGTCTATAGATGCAAACCTCAGTATCATTCTTACTTATTTTTTTTAAAGCAACCAAATTCTTTGGTCCCCTTCTTGATATCTGTTTTATATTTAGCCTGATGTCTGTGTTGGGTGTGTATCTTGTGTATGATCGATCTCGTGTCTTGTTGTCAATTCATTCAAACCCGGTAACCTAGACTCGAATCCAACGCAACTTTGAACTTGCTTTTACATGCAAGCAACATTTAGTTGCAATTTGTAACCAATACTTAAATATCCTTTTATTTGTTTCCAAATTACGGATAAATCTGTTAATTTGCAAAGTATTAACTCTCACGTAAGCTTACAGGGATTGATTTCTATCCATATAAGGGACTTCTTCTACCACTAAGAAATTTTTTTGGTGAATTTAACGGTTGATAGATAAAAGTTGTTAGAGAGAATCCAACTCCCAACACGAAGGAAACATATAGATAGGATGTTTATCCTATCCTACAAGTAGGTAGAAATTATAGTATTTTATCTTCTTATTTGATATAATTTTTTTTTTCTTTACCTATCCTACCCAATCAAGTATACTATTCTTATCTGAATTCAATCTAAAACAATCAAGGTAGAAAGTTAGGTGGAAAATTGGGTGAACACATATTTTTTAATTATTATTTTTTAAATTATTTAACAATTTAATTAAGTAACAGACATTAATTAACTAACAAAATAAACCAATAATACTAAAGAAAACACAATAAATTTGATAATATATAAATAATTACAACAAGAAAATCGTAAACATCAATACATTATATATAAAAAAGTCATAAACATCAATAAAATATTAGGGTTTCTAGATTTTTAGATTTTAATTTTTAAGGATTAACATATATGGTAAGGTAGGGTAAAAATACGAAAATTTTGTAGATATTTTGCATTTCTATCTAATTTTTTGCAAAATAGTAAAAGATCTTCTATTGGCCTACTTGATTCTTTCGTCGGGCAGGATAACATATGGTTGAAATTTGTGAATAATCAAAATTTTGAACACCTTTATATACAGGCAAGCACAACATAGGTTTGTGATCAAGTTCTTTCTCATTAGTGAATACATTAATTTGACAGAATATTCAAATTCAATCGACGTGGGATCCGCTTATTATGAGTTTATTTGACACTCATGTTTGATCTATCATAATATACGGGCAGAAATTTACGTCAGTAATGTTATTATGACTTAATTTAATATAATTTATTGATATAATATACTTAGAGAGGGACCTATGTATAAGCTTAGCAGGACCATGGACTCCCTCACATTTTGAAAAGTCTCCATTGACCCGCATATATTTGTAGAAAGTTCTACTGCAACCTTTTAGATTTTCAAAAAACTCAATGTATTCTATCAAAAAAAAAAACTCAATGTATAAATATTAAATAATGACTTGATATTTAATGAGTGTTGCTCTTACTTGAAGAAACACTTGTTTGGATGATTTTGATAACTATGGGGAAAAAACAAGTAAAATTTTTAAAATTGAGTTACAAAAGTGGATTATCTCAAAAGCAATGTATGTCATGATTTATTTTATTATAATATCATGTGAAATTATAATTTACGATGATAATTTATTTATAATTATAAAATTATATTATAAATAAGAAAAAAAAAGACGGTGATATTGTCACATACTAATTTGAAGAAAATGCTTGATTTAATATATTATAGTCACTGAATTGATAGCAGAAACAACTAATAATTGAGTCACTATCAATCTAATGACATATAATAATTTGAATAGCAAATTATGTTAAAATATTATTAATTTAATCTTTATATGGTGTGAACCAATTTTTGGGTTTTATGACCCAAAATAATTTTTACGGTGCCATAATATATAAAGTTAATTTTAATATATTTTTTATAAATTAAAATTTATTGTAAATTATAATCATTGAATATTTCCATTGGACTTTTTTGTCTATACCATCATTTTGACCTCTCTTGGAATAAAATCTTACTTTCGTCTCAGAATACACTGTTATATTTCAAATGATAAGGGCATCATCAAATACTAATGCTCCGTTTGGTACAATAAAAAAATAGAAAGATAAAAAATTAAAAGGATAAAAATTTGAGAGATTAAAACATCATGTTTAATAAGGAAGGAAAGTAGATGAATTAACTTTCCTTCCAACTCACCAAAATTAATCCCTCCAAAATCGGAAGGAAAGTGGATGAAAGTTAATTATTTGTGTTGAGATGTATATTATTTGTCTATATATATTATGTATACATTAATTTCATATAAAAATATAATGATAATATATATATTTTTTTTTAAATTAAAAAAAATCAAAATTTTAAATCAAAAAAAAATATATTTTTTTCATCTTAATTAAGGGTGAAAATTTTTAACTCAACATGATGACACGACTCGAACTCGACACGAATTTTATGACACAAACTTGATTATAACTCGACACGAACTTGAAAATGACCTGACACGCACTTGAAAATGACTTGACACGCTAACAAAGAATATAAAATGTTCATAATTTTATGACTCAACATGAATCTGACACGACACGACTCGATTATCAATCCTAATCTTAACAAGCACAAAAAAAAAATTAATTATTTTTATTTTTTATTCATCCATTCAATCAAACACAAAAAAAGAAAAGTGTATTAGTTTTATTTTTCATCCTTAAAGGATAGAAAGTATGTCCCTTCTACTTTATATCCTCGTACTTTTTATTCTTCCTACGAAACGGAACATAAAACTTAAAATTAATTCAATAATGATAATAATAATGTACTAAGTCAGAATATTTGGACCAAGTAACATTGGCAGATAGGAAGTCCTCTTTTTGTTACCTTTTTCCTCGCAGTTTCTGAATCCATAGACACGCAAAATGAGATACGCTGGCGGTTTTCCCAAATACCATGGGTCAAATTCACAGATAATGACTTGAGCGGGTAGATTTAATGCTCAAAAACCATGGGTGTTTCCTACTCTACAGGTTAAACCGCCACTGGTTTTAGTCCTGGATTCTCTCTCTCTGTCTTTCTCCCCTATATATAGCTAACCCAGATTTCTGCATACCTCAAAGCACTGCCCAAACACAAAACTCTCGTATAAAAATCTTCTAAATCTTAGCTCAGCTGATCTGAATCAATCTTATTTGAAAATATGAGTGCCACAAGAGGAGCTTGGATTGTAGCAACAAGCATTTTTGCAGTTGAGGCTCTGAAAGATCAAGGGTTCTGCAGATGGAACTATGCCCTTAGGTCGGTTCAACAACGTGCCAAAACCAACCTCATTTCCTATTATAAGGCTCACAGAGTTTCTGCTATGCGGTCCTCTTCAGTGATCTCTGGTAAGATGAGAGAGGAGAAGATGAATCAAACGGAACAGTCCCTGAAGAAAGTCATGGAATTAAGTTGTTGGGGTCCAAACACTGTCAGATTTTAATTATTCATTTAGAGATTTATCTAAATGAATAATTTAGTGTTAGTGTCGATGACTTATTTTTGACCGTGAAAAGAAGTTAATGAGTGCCTAAATTAGTCAAAACATCTTTAATCGTGAAATTAAAAAAAATAATATTGAATGTTAATGTTGAATAAGGTTCATTTTCAATTCAATCATTATAATAAATTAGATTCTTTAATTAAGTTCTTAATTCAATCATTAAATAAATCATATTTTATATTGTAAATTCTATAAGTTATACTTATACCTAATATTAAACCATGAGTTATCATATTCTTTGAATTCATGTTTTTGTTTATCTTTAATCTGATAAATTTTATAATAACTTTCTAACACCACAAAAATACATCTTTGTTTCCTTGTGTTTTCATTAAATAATATCTTCAAAAAAATATTTTAGGCAATTTAAGATGAAGGATTCAATATAAAAAATTTAATTGTTAAAAATATAAAATAAGAATCTTAAATTTTTCGGCTAATATCATTTGTATCTTAAAAAATGTTTCGATTTTTAATTTATATCCTTAAATATTAAAAATATTAATTTATACTTTGAATGTTATGAATTGATAATAAATGTAAACTTTGTCTAAACTACCTTTCAATTTTTTATCATAAATTGAAGCACGTGAGTTTTAAATGCTTCGGCCATAGAATTATGTATAAATTCACATACTATTAACATCTTATTTGAATTGTATATGTTAGACTATTAGTATGTGTTTTAATTTATGATAGAAAATTGAATAACAGTTTGGGCAAAGTCCACGTTATTACTAATTTATAACATTAAGGGTATAAATTAAAAATTTTAATATGTAATAGTACAAATTCAGAATTTAAGTATTTTTCGGGGGTACAAAGTGAGATTAGCCCACTAATATTTGACCAACTAGTTGTTCCCACCGCTTACTTCCCACTTCATTCGAAGTCACCTGGAATGTCATTAATTAGCGAGTGAAGTCGTTGAGTTCTTGGAGTCTATCTATACCCGAAGACTTGTGTATATATCTAGGAGTTGGCTTCTCACACCTAAGACTGAAATCTTATTTCATGAACTAAACAATCGGAAGTGTGGCAGAGTCCGGCGAACTTATGGTGATCGCCAACCACCACAAGTCTCTCTCTGAGGGGATGTTCTGGAGGTTATTTCCGTTCTGGCAATCAGGAACAACTTCTTCGTCCTCTTCTTCAACTCAGAGCCACCAAAACGGTGTTGGATCAAGCACTCGCTCTTCGAATTCTGTTTCTTCTGTCGCAAAATCTCTCCTTCCGGTCAGGCGTAGACTCCGGTTTGATCCAGCTAGCACTCTATACTTTCCTTGTGAGTCGTTGTTTTGTTCCTCGTTGACGTCTGATCATTCTTGCCCGGTCTTGTTAGCTTGTCCTTTGTTTATCAGTTAATTGACTTTTGCGGAGACAAGAATTGCTTGTTTTATTAGCTCTATGCTTTTGATTGCCGAGAAAATGTAAGGAAAACAAAAGAGACTTGAAATTAAGTGGAAGAAGTGTGTTTAGAATATGTTTTCCTTCAATTTGGGCGCGCGCACACACTCACATACTCAAATTGTTTTTTGGATTTTAGATTTCTATTGTGGTTCCTCATTATTTTAGGTTTGTGTATGTTAAAGATGAACCGGGCAAACAGATCAGGAGTGCCGTTGGAATAAAGAATAAGAGCAGGTCTCATGTGGCTTTCAAGGTAACTTGATTTATTTTTTGCCCTTTTAATTAATTTGATAATTGATTTTTTTGTCACTCCATTGTTCAAGGCCTTATCGTAGATAGGATTTTCAATGTCAGTCAAACTATAGTTTCATTGTCATAGCTGATCTTCCAAATTCTTTATTAGTTATGTGAATAGTTTACAATTTAGGAAGAGTACTTTTCTTCATTACATGGCGTTGGAGTGAGTACCTATGGGGCATTTGATTTGAACATCTCGGGGAGCCGATATTTTTCCCAAGTTTTTTTCGGCATTGCTTTCCTGTTTCTTTTAATTATGATGATGTTTTTTCAGCAAATTGTTCCCCCACCCTCCCCCGGTGTTTGTGGTCTATGTACGTAAGTCCATTGAAATTTCTAACTGCTCTTGTTTATCACGTGTTAGTTTCAAACTACTGCACCAAAGAGTTGTTACATGCGACCACCTGGAGGAATTCTTGCTCCTGGAGAAAGTCTCATTGCTACTGGTAATTTTCGTGTGCTTATTCATCTAGATTTCAATTATTCTCTTTTTGTTAATAAGGGATACAATGGGGTTGTATTACGTTGGGAATCTGGGGCTATATAACATCCAGGGTTATTTTAGTCTCCAATTGTTGTTTATATCTGTGCTTCATTTGGATTTCCAATATGTTTGACAGTGTTCAAGTTCATGGAGCTTCCAGAGAACAATGAGAAACAATTAGATCACAAGAACAAGGTGAAGTTCAAGATCATTAGTCTGAAGATGAAAGCAGGAACAGATTATGTACCTGAGTTGGTAAGTTCTATGCCCTTAATCTTAGTTTCTTATTTTTTAGTGAACATGGCTAAAAATCTTGTGATATCGTTATGGGGTCAAACATGGCTGAAAATCTGGTGAGATCATTAAGGGGCCTGGTGTAAATCTATAGAATGAGACTACCATGATACAATAATGTTTGAGCAGTATAGTTTGACATCTTACATCTCTAGTAGAGTTCAATTCTTTTTTTTTCCCCCTGTTCTTTTCATTCTTGTATATCATCTTCCTTGAGATCAATAAAGATGATAGGGATTTTTGGACCTAATTGAGGAGAATTATGTCACCGAAGGGAACTTGTGCACGAGGAGATGTGGTATGAGTACTGTTACACATTGAAGACACATTGCATCCTTTAGATCATTAGAGCAATGGGGTCACCACATAAAATAAATTGACATCAATAAATAGCAATCCATATAATCACCACATTGAGTGAATTGTGATCAATATTAGCAATCCATGAAATCAAGGCTTGTAGATTTTACCTTTGTGGTTCAGCTTGATAACGTGATGCAATTGGCGATGTTTACGTTGCAATTGGCGAAGATTCTAGTACCATCTTGAAAGATGCGCGAGATGAATCACCGGAAGTCTAAAAGAAATGGAATTACAGTAAATTCATATCTTAGGATGCGTTGAAAATATAATTTGAAGTGTGCTTGCCTATGGCCTGCTATCGTTACTTGTAGTCAATGTTTCAGTTTGTTTGATAGATAATGCTCTGTTGCACTGTGATCTCAAAAAAGAATATAACCCAATCATTATATGTTCTCCAACCCCTGACGTATAAAACTTATTGCAAGGCATCCTTCCATTAAACTAGCCTTAAGCTAATGACATAAGGAAGCATTAGTCCAGGCCTAGAAAGAAGGGAAGGATTAGTAAGAACAGAAAAGTCGTAAAGCCAAGGTGTTCCCCTTTAGGAGGAAGCGAGAAAGCTTCAAAAGGCTAGTCCGGCAACTGCTGGCTGTCGACATGGAGTGGCAGATTTCTGGACTTTAGGGTCCAATCATTTAATGACGCTAGGTGTATGGTCATGAAATATTAATGTTCCATATGCATAAAAAATACTTAACAAATTTTTCCAGAAGCTTCTCGTTTGCTTCTTAAGCATCACTGGGTGATTGCATTATTTATGATGTTTTAGTCCCTAATATAGCCAATGTTGTTTGGCCAAGTGTGCTTTATGATTTTTTTGGTGAGGCTATAACTGTACTAGCAATAATGACTGTGTTAGCTAATTGTAGTTGCTTTAAGTTATAAAATGTTCCTAAACATGTTAGAGGAAAACCTGTACATGTTAGGAAAAACAGAATAAGTTCATTCTTTAAGCTACATACAAATTGTGCTATGTGCATTTGGTGATCATGTCAAAATGCATGATATATTCTATAGTATTACCCTGTACATTTTTCTGATGGCTGTTGTGATTTCATTATACAAAAACAAGCAAGGAAGCACACCTGTGTCAGCCTGTATTTAAGAAAACTTGCAAAGGACATTGTCAGTTTTTATGAGTTGAGCATGAAGATGACTGTTTATTTTAACTTTCCCTTAGTTTACTTACCATGTTATTAGTGATAACGATGCCAAATTTTCTTTTTCTTTCACTATCTTTGTGTGCAAATCTCATGTGTATGTGATGTAGTTGTAACCTCAGTTACATGTGGGATTTCACCCTGTATGATATAGTTAATATAGTTGTTGGCGGACATAATTGTGAATGGTGGTGCAAGCTGTGTTTCGTCTTTGAGAGGTTTATTAGTGCTCAGCTGATACATTTCTTCATTATTTCATGCAGTTTGATGAGCAAAAGGATCAAGTAGTTGTTGAACGTATTCTGCTTGCTGTGTTTTTAGATGTGGAACGCCATTGTCCTGTAAGTAAGAGAATTACCATAAATGTTCTGCTCATATTCATGATGTTTCAAGTTGAATAATGCATTATAGTGACATTGTGGTCATTTATATTTATATTTTTCACGTTGAGTAATGCATTATAGTGACATTGCGGTTGTTTATGTTAAGGCACTAGAAAAACTAAAGCGTCAGTTGGCCGAAGCTGATGCCACAGCAGAAACACGCAAGAAACCTCTAATAGACACGGGTCCTCAAGTTGTTGGGGACGGGCTTGTCATAGATGAATGGGTATGCTCCCCATATATGACTTATTTGTACATCGTCGATTTTATTACCTCTCTCCACTTTGTTTTCTGTAATATCTTTTATTCCCCCCCTTCTTGTTTCTTCAGAAAGAGCGAAGGGAGAAATACCTTGCTCAGCAACAGGTTGTGGAAGTAGACTCTTTGTAAAACACCACTTGCTTCTGTTGTAAGTGCTCCTTTGCGTGCATAAGAAATCTGCGATCATATCCTACTACTACCTCAGTAGCCGGTAAGTTTGATGGACTGGAATGGGAGGTCCAGTCTACTACCTAATATGGAGAACAAAAATGTGATTTGATATATCATGACATGATCTCTATATTTTGCCACAAGTGCCTTATTTTGGGATTTGGGTTTTGTAAATAAAGGACTTTTTGTAAGTAAACAGTAGTTGAAACATTGAACTTAAGTATGAATTCCTATACATCAAGTCTAATTAGTCATCTTGGTAGCCGAAAACATAAACATGTCGGCCTCTCAATAGTGTCGAGTGAAGTAAATTTGTGTTAAAAAGTATTCTACTCATACCCAATCTGTTTATTAATTTGTGTATAATAAATTGTGTTATATTAAGTTTGTGTTGTATATAATAAATCGTGTTATATTGAGTTTGTATTGTGTATAATTGATATATGAACAAATCTTTTTTTTTTTATTGTCTTCACCTATATCTAATTCGTTTATTAATCTGGTCCACTCATTTATGAAATAGGTAGCTTAAGGTTCCGTTTGGTGGGAAAAATAAAAGGATGAAAAATTAGAGGGATAAATAAAATATCATGTTTGGTAAGGAAGGAAAATAGGAAGGATGGAAAAGTGGATTGATGAGTTTTTCTTTTAACTCATCAAAATCAATATTTTCAAAATTAGAAAAGTGAATAGAAAATTAATTATTTATGTTGAAATATATCTTATATGTCTATATATTTTTTGATATATACATATATTATGTATACATTAATTTCATATATAAATACAATGATATAATATGTATTTATATTTTTTTTACAAAAATTAAAAATAAAAATTTTAAAAAATAAAATTAAAAAATAAAAAATATTTTTTTATCTTACCAAGTACAAAAAAAAATTTAATTATTTTTATTTTTTATCCATCCTACTCAACATAAAGGAACGAAAATGTATCATACGCACTTTTTTTTTCTAAAATGATAGAAAGTGTATTCCTTCTACTTTTCATCCCTTCCACCAAAGGGAGCATAAGAAAGATTTAGACTCACTAATTTCGTGTCATATTAATGGATCGTGTTATATTTTGACACCCTTAGAAACAAGGCTCAGATTTACTTGTCTCAATAACATGCCTTTTGTCCTAGAGTGAAATCCCTCCCCATGCAAAAAAAAAGAAAAAGAAAAGAAAAAGAAAGGGAGAAGGACAAAACAAAACAAGCCTACACCTGCTTTTCTTCTATCCATGAAACGGTGAACGTTCAGAAGTAGTAATAAAAGTACTAAATAAATTACAATGTTGCCCACGACTGTATATTTGTAGACATAATGGGATTGCACAATGCAAGCTGGTTTTGACTTCTGACTGCCTTCAAATATCAAAATCATCTTGATTCGGCTTTGGTGAAGTCAACAAAGCAGTATAGAGCCTGAGCCTATCCTCACCCAACGAAGAACACCGCGATAAGGGTCTGCGTGGCCTGATAAACGATAACGAGGTTAGCGTCAACCGGTGTTTGTACCTCCTCCAAGCCAACTGAATAGCAACCGCCGCCCAGGTTCTCCATCCAGGAGAGTAATATCTCGCGCTTCTCTTCACTTTTTCGTTAACAAATGTGTATCGGAAATGTTGGGTGACATATTTCACATCCTCAGCTTCTAGTCCGAAAGCTTCAGTGGTTTCAAGTGTAATTAGGGTTGATGAAGATGGAGGTAGCCTCTCTATGAAGGGTCTTCTGAGGCACCATGACAGAAGTTCGTCTCCACTGAAGTTTCCAGGGCCTAACATGCAGCAACTTTTTACGCCATCTCGGAGGACTTGGCTGCTCTGGAGATGACCTCTTACTATAAATAACATTCTCTGTACTGGATCACCCTCCCTAGTTATCTGCATACAACTCATGGATGAATTAATTAGGATAGTACCCTTTTTTATACATATGATAATATCGAAATTCCAATACAATGACAAAGTTCATATGTCAAGGATTGGACTCACTGTTTCTCCCTTTGTGAAGATGAGGGACTTCACGCGATCACAGATGTTCTCCAGGACCAAATTATCCATATGTTGAAACAAAGGTACCTGAAACATTTTAAAAAATTATAAATTTCATGCATGAATATCTTTTACTAGATTCCATCGAGTTCAGTTTTCTAAACAGGTCGAATATTAATATCATGGTTATTATTATTGGATGTGTATTAATGCTTGGTTTGTGAATGTTAAGTTTATCTGATATTTGTTGTACCTGTCTCACCAAGTCCAGGCATAGATGGTATTTGATGTCCCTCCTAAGGCCTTCGGGGAGATTTCGGATCATCTCACATTCGTCAACCCCGCGCATTGCCGCCCAACGCTGCCTCTCATAGTTCCGCACTCTATGCCGGAAACCCTGTGGTAAGTGTCTCCTCCTCATCCACCACTCGATGTTCCTCATCTTCAAATGCATTGCCTGTTTCTTTGACGTTGTTGCGTGCAAAAACACCTGTATATATTCTCACACACAAAAAAAATAATGCAGATAATTGTCACCAAAAGACATGCTTTCCTTTGCCATCATTGAGGTTACGGTTGTTTCATTAATCAATTTCCTTATCAATCTAACTATTTGGTGACCAATCAGAAAATTATAAAGTAACCCAAAAATGTCATTTTGCGTAGTTTCCTTTGCTAAAAAAATAAGGTCCAACTTGGTACATATTAGTTCTTGTTTTTTGTGGGGATTGGAAGAAGTGGTAGGTAGACAGTTTTACCGTCATTTTGGAGAGGTTAATTTTTGAATTCGAATATTTAACATATCTTTTAGACAAACGAGCATTTGTCGTCGTTATAAATCCAAATTCTACTGACAAAATAAGGTGACTTGAGAGCATTTTTTCAATCCCTACAAGTCCATGCATTTGGGACTACTATTGTGTCCTTTATTGAGCAGATAACAACTTTTTTTTGGCTGATTGTCAGGGAGAGACAATCAGTAGGTAGTAACTCTCCCTGGGCATAATCATGGTGTTCCTCACTGTGGAATGTTCGATTTGACCTATAACTACTAATTCGGAAGGGTAGCCAATCACCATGGCACCACCAAAGCCGCGTTACTCCCATGGATCGATCCCTACTTGATAATCACATGAGAGTAAAGGACAACCCTCAACGGGTAGGACTTACCACTAGACCACCAAACTGGGTGGTGAGCAGATAACATCTTAGTATTGATTATCCTGTCTTGATCGAAGGTTCATATGATTTCAAGGAATCAGTTTCCATATATAGTTGGTTACAATACTGTCAAGAAGAGAAGCAAATTAAGATTGGTCGTATATTACCTTGATATTGCCAATTAACATGGTGACCAGAAGGAGCCCAGCGGTTAAAACTATAATAATGAAGACAACTTCTAACCAATCTGTTGTGCTTTCCAAGTCCCCAAAAGTACTGTAACATGTGATACACAGTATTAGGCAAATATGGAGGATAATACAGAAAAACCTAAGGAGGAAAAAAAGTATATGTAACATATTTTTTTTGAGCAAAACGCACACTTTGTATCTAATTGATCCAATCGAAAACGGCAGCTTAAAATTTCTAACAAAAATGGTCACGTGTTCATTACATGAATAAACCTTGAGGGCATTTTTGAAAGAACACACTAAAGCACATATTTTCGGGACCAATACTGTTTCTGCTCAGAAAATATGATAATGGAAATGAAAAAAATTACCTCAAAGTCATTAGACCCCAAAAGATAGGAAATAATATCTTCTCCATACGGTTTTCATTTGTAACAAGTTGAACTGTCCATTTATAAACTCCATAGCCATAGTTATCCTCACTTTCTAGGCAGGTAGACCTTGCTTGTTTGTTCTCCCCCCATATCTGTCTTGATGCGTCTCTCACCAACCTTCTTGTTCCATAACATATAATCTCTTCACAAGCCAATTCTTTAAGACCACAACCTTTTGCTTGTATGCATTGCTCCTTCAGGCATTTTGCACCCCTCTGGATCCCTAACAAGTACCAACATGCTCCTACTGCCTGCACACATTTGATTCTCAAATTAGCTCGACAGTGAGAGAGAGAGAACTTTAGCCTTAAAATATTCTTAAACCGAGAGAAAAAAACGAAAATAACAGGGTAAAGATGCTCTCTATTTTAGAGAGCTTTTTTAGTAAAAAGTTACAATATAGAGTGAATTTTTACACACCACTCCAATAGAACTTTTTATGTTTTATCTTTTTTGGCAATAAATTTGACTTCTTTCATATTTTTCCTCCATTATTTTAAATGAGATACGTTAATATGAATGTCTTAGATAAAAAGACAAATATATCATTTTTCTGTTCAAAAAAAAAGTAGAATGAGTTTGATGTTCCAAATGTAGAGAGTTAAATTCAACTCTTTATTTTAAAGAGTGTAAATGAAGAGTCTATTAGTGAAAAAAATTTAAGGGTTAACTCTCTATAACATAGAATTAAGTGAGAAAAAAGAGTCTATTAGATATGGTCTAATATTGTAATACTTTTAGTCTCATTTTTACTCGTTTAGAATTTTGTTTCTTATGTCATCACCACATTATTTGACCCTTTTTTTTTGTCCTATTTTTCACTCAATCTAGCATTATCCAAAATAATATGTTCTTCTATCGTTCGAAATCTACATCCACTCCAACGCCAGGTAGGGTCGACTATATATAATTGAGTAGGGAAATTTAGAAGTCGGTATAAAAATTTGAACTTAATTGAGTTAAACTAAATTAAAAAAACTTATTTGGTCATAAGTGCATTTTTTTTATAAAAAGACTAAAAAGTTAGTCATTGCTCCATTATTCTCTCTCCCTCTTTCTCCATTACGCTCGTTTTCCTATTTTTTCTCTCTCATTTACTCTCCTTATCTATCCCCTATTTTCTCTCTCTTTCTCTCTCCCCCATTGATAATTTATTTTCTTTTCAAATATGTAA